GTATAAAGAGAATTTCACACCTGAGTTTCGTGTCTACTTTCACTTTGCTGAAATATTCGAGCAGACTGCACCAGGCAAATTACGAGAATTCACCATTACTTTGAATGGCTTAAACTATGGTCCCTTTACCCTTGAATACTTGAAGCCATTGACCATACGTTCAAATATAACACAAGAAGGTCAAGTTAGGTTTTCTATTGATGCAACGTTGCGGTCTGACCTTCCACCTATCCTAAATGCCTTTGAGATCTTCGTACTATGGCCACTCCCTGATTCACCGACAAACCAAACAGACGGTATGTTTTCTATTTCAATTCTGTTGAATGCTATAATAATCGTCATTAATGAATTGCTAGACTACTGGATTGAAGGATTTTTACGTTTTGATCCCTCTGATCCCCCGAGCTAGGGCCTGATTAATGGCAAATTACTTGGTGATTGTCTTACTAGTACAACGAGGGTTGGCCTTGTCTTTTCCTTTCTTTGTTTTTTTTTTTTCAAAGAGGTTTCCTCCACTGTGATTTGGTGTTGTAGTTGTTTTAGAGATTATTGTCTGAAAAAGTAGGTTCAAGAAAAGTTATAATCTGAAATTAAAGAGAATAATAAACAAAAAATACAAAATTAATTTATTTATGGACGAAAGGGACTATCGAATACAAATATAAACCTCAAATTCACAAATTTATTGTCTGAAAATAATAATAATGTCTTAAGTACGTCAGAAATCTTAATCCTATCTAAGAAACAATTTTTTTTTTCAATTACAAAGAAAAGAAGTATCAAATTAAAAAATAGCAAGAAATCCAAAATTAATAAAAAAAATCACAAAACTAGTAAAACTAGGTTTCGTATAGCAACACAGAGACAACTTCAAAAGAAAACAACCTTCAAAATCTCCTGTAAAAATTTGATTGCGGTCTAATATTCAGATTAAAAGTATGGTTTATTTGAACTGTTATTCTGGTTTGATGCTACAATATTTTTTCTTGGACCTAAACATATCTTATTATTTTATAAATGCATCTTCTAGGCCATCCACCTAATTTATATGGAGCATATTCTGAACTAACTATGACATACCCACACCTGACTACTCAAATCACCAGTTAACGTAGGTCTAATAACATCATTTAGTTTTCAAGAGAGAGCTTCCAGTGGAATCTATGTACAACTATGATATATATTGATTGACCAAATATTTTCAAATGTATGATTGAGACAAAACATAAAACCCACCACATCGTAACATAAAAAACAAAATGAGCCTAAAACTCCTAGTATCACTAAAGAATACAAACCTCTTATGTTAATTGATTACCATATCAAAGTTCATATGATTTGATCTAAGTTCTTTTTGTATCCAAATGTTGTGGGATTTGATTCTTCAAAGATATCCAACCTAAATTCTTTATCTTCCAAAAAAAAAAAATCTTGCACAATTTATGCTTATTGTTTATCAAGATTATATGGTGATTTATTGGATATCATCGAATAATTTAAATTTCTAAAGTGGTTTTTGATATGGTATGAAAGTTTCAATAATCAATGGTTGATTTTGAATATCATTATTTTGTTTCTTCTAATTAAATTAAAAATAAATTAGCATATAATAACTTTGCAAATTTTAAGAAAGGCTTTCTATGTTATAGAACATTTTTTTTTTAATAATCAACAAATTTATCAAAACACATTCTAGCCATTTAGAGGATGGTTGTCATGAAAAGTTAAAGTTTTACATAACGAGTACCTAAAAATAAAAGATTTAGGAACAAAATAATGTTTGACAATAAGGTACTGTTGCACGTGTGTGGCGTCGTGGTGATTCTTCCACTCTGTTTGTTTTGGGTTGTTTGAGAAAATGTGGAAGACAAGAAATTCTTGTCTTTTATCCATGGAAAGTAGGAATGAGAGTCGCTATATAGTATTTTGGCTATTAGAAACTCTAATTGGTTCTAGAGATTGGTTATGGAAACTGGTTGTATAAAGGGAAGATATTAGCACACGAAATACGCCCTATCTAAGGTAAGCAATATTGTTTAACTGTCTAATAAAAACTAAGATCTTATTGGATTTTTTAATTGTTGATTTATCTATGTTTCAAAAAACGTCCTCAGTAAGGAGGTTCTTACTTTGTTGGATAAAAACTTAATTGTTCTAATGTCTATAAAAGAAAAACCTTTTTAATATCAAGAATACGTTTTATATATAAATTCGTAATCCCATATATTAATATAAAAAAATATTTTTTAATTTTTTTTTTAAAATATTGGCTTGGTTCTCGTGACTTTAATAAACTGGTTATTAAAGCCAAAAATACTAGTCAAAACATTTATTTGATTTTTTTTGTTTTATAAAAATATGATAAAAAAATTATAAGCTTCGAGAAATTTGGTTGTATGCTTGAAAACTAGATTTGTTTTGTTTTATAATTTTTTTGCAATGTTTCGGAAAAAAAGGTATTTTTTTAATACCAGATTTATATCTTTATGTTATAAATATACAAACCAATATTAATAAAAAAAATAGGCATAAACAAATAAGCAAGAAAACCACTAATTTGGAGAAGATTTTTTTTTTGTAATTTTTTTTATTTTTTAAAATCATATTATATAATATAATAAAAAATAATTGGGTTTAGGTTGACTCTATCTTGTTAGTCGAGCCCCCCTCTAATGGGCTCAAAGTTCAGCCTAAAGGAATCTAGGTTGAGACAAGCCCATAAAGGAGTTAGGCTGAGTCCTGACTCTTGAGAAAATGGGTCAAGACCAACCCCAACTAGAATCTTGGCTACGACCAAGCCCAAAAAAAATTGGGTCAAGGCTAGCCTTAAAAGAAACTGAGCCACGATCGAACCCAAGAGAAATTGGGTCTAAGACCGCCCCAAAACAAAAAGGTGGCTAGAAAAGGTTGGACACATGACAAAATAGGTTCAGATCGCACTTATGACGAGTTGGGTCAAGAACAAACCTAGAACAAAAATTAGGTGGAGCCTGCACCCATCATATCTTGTTAAAGACAGGGCCTAAAGGAAAGCTGGCCAAAACCGGACCGATAGAGAAATGGGTCCAGACCGACCCTAAAAATACTAGGTTGAGGACGGATCCAAAGAAATTGGGCCGTAACGTGGCCGGCAAACCAGACTGCCTTGAACGAAACTGGGCGAGGCCAAAACCATAGAAATTGGGTTGCAACTCGGCCCATAACAAAACATGGGTCAAGACTCAACCCATATGGATCTGGGCCAAGACTAGCCCAAAAAAGAATTGGGTCAAGACTCGACCCAAAACAAGAACTGGGCCGAAACTCAACCCAAAAACAACTAGGCTGAGTTCGGCCCTAATTATTGATGTTGCATGCAAAATGAATTATCGTTCTGCATGCAACAACCTTGCTGCAAGCGAGGAAAACAAAGAGTGGCGGGGAAGTGAAGGTTACCTGGTAAGGGGGTATGGCCGTGAAGAGGGAGTCCAGGAGATGGATCACAGGGCACCGCTGGAAAGGATGGCGACCAACGATTATAAACACAGGGATCGCTGCTGGTTGTTCCTCCTCGTTTGTTCTTCCTTTTTCTTTCTTATTGTTTCAATCTCTCTCATCTTTTTCTCTTTAGTATGGGGAAAGCTTGGTTGTGACAATGAGGTTTGGCTGGTGGCTCAGGAGGCTTCAGTGGAGGGAATGATGGATGGTGTCAGTGGCTGATGAAGGAAGAAGAAAAGTTACAGAAGAGAGATAAAGGGGCTTGGCGGCGCACTCACTACCTGAGGTGGTTGTGCTACTGCTTTGTGATAGGGATGGTGGTGGTCAAGCTAGTGGTGGATATGTCGGTGGTTCAACACCATAGTGGAGAAAGAGATAGAGGAGAGGAAGGTTCGACTGACATCAAAAATACAAAGGGGAGGCTGTTTTTTTTTTGCGATTTTGGCCCTTGTTTTTTTTCCTCCTTTTCAGCCATAAAGATCAAATTTATTTATAAGGGACAAAAAAAGGACACTTTGTCTTTTCTTATGCCAAATCTTAGCCCTTAGTTCGACTAGAAAGCACCTCAACTATTAGTTTAAAATAGTAATGATGAACTATCAGTTTTGTGCAGGAAAATAGCTAGTCGGGGTAGCTAATTTGGGGTAGTGCCATCGCCACTACAGAATCGATCAAGTCAAACGATTTACATTAGCACATAGTCAGGCGTTAGGTGACCACTTGTGTGTAAGCTTCATCCAATTTAAGGAAGAAATGAGACATCAAACACCTTGGGAAGGAGGCCGTTCGGGCAGCCCTTCTAAAGAAGAAGATGAATAGTCATTTTCCCAACGACGCTGTTTTGGTCACTTACGCTTTAGTCCTTCGATTTGTGATTTATTTCTAATTACACTCTTGATTGGTTTTAAACTTTTAATTTTGTTCAATATCACCCCTGAAGAACTTCAATTCAAGCCCTAAATTTCAGCGCATTTTCCCTTTTGGTCATTGGTTTTAGATTTATATAATTTGATCCTCAATTAATCAATAAAATTTAAATTTCTTCAATTTAGCCCCTAATTCAGTCAATTTCATTTCCTCTATTTATGCGCCTTTTCCTATTTGGTTATTGGTTTCAGATTTTTTCAATCAAGTCCTTAATTGAGCATCAAACTTCAATATTTATGCAATTAAACTCTTGATTTGGCCAAATCAACTCCTAAAAATTATAATTTGACCCCTAAGCCTTAACTTCTTCCAATTAAAGCCTAGATTGACTAAGAAATCAATTTTTATTGCCATACAACCCTCCATAAATTCAATTTAGTTGAGTTCATAAACATTTGATTTTGGACTTTTCTTCCTCAATTTGATTTTTTTTTTTGTCAACAGGGCTCTTATCAATTAATGATATGGTGTCAAATTTCAATCTTTGTATTTTTAAACTTTCTCAACCAATTTTTAGCCCTTTTATCCCTAACATCCTTTTCTCACTACTTCATATATTTTTCTTTTTTTATTTTCTTTTGAGTATTTATTATTATTATTATTATTATTATTATTAATTTATGGAATCTAAAAATAAGTAACAACAAGTCCTATACAAAAACATTAGGCAACCTCTTTTGGAGTTTGTCCAACTTCAAATGCATTCAAAGCTAATATGAAGATCATTATCTATATAAGAGAAATGAGATTCTTAATTTCTTAATCAAGCAGATAATCGATAAAGTATCAAAGAGAAGTAAAAGTCCAAATTTGGTTTAACATCATTAAAGATCAAATTACTTTTTATTAACCATATACTCCGAAGTATACCAAAAAATAGCATTTTCAATGC